CCCTCCGGTCTTAAGGGGTTAAAGAACTAATGGATGGTATTTATTACGGTCTAAATGAGCTGTGCTCCATCTTAAAGGACAACTGTCATCTCAGCACTATTTTTTTAATATAATGATCAATTTTTGAAAGGAAATAGATTCTGTGTGCAATGAAGTACACGTAAATATTATAAAATATCACCCCTGCCTTAGTATATGACAGAATCCTTTCGCCATATACATGCACCTTGGGCCAGACAGTGTTTGAAAACCTCTATATAGTCTCTATGGTCTTCCTTGTTTCACTCCCCGCACAGTGCATTGACATAATCAGACTCACTTACTGTCAAATTCAATTACTGCCTGATCCAAGGTGTATGTACAGTATCTCACAAAAGTGAATACACTTTTGTACACCTCACCAGGTGAGGAGTACAAAGACAAGTGTGTCTTGCCTACAGTCAGGCATGGTGATGGGAGTGTCATGGTCTGGGCCTGCATGTGTGCTGCCGGCACTGGGGAGCTACAGTTCATTGAGGGAACCATGAATGCCAACATGTACTGTGACATACTGAAGCAGAGCATGATCCCCTCCCTTCGGAGACTGGGCTGCAGGGCAGTATTCCAACATGGTAACGACCTCAAACACACCTCCATGACCACGGCCTTGCTAAAAAGCTGAAGGTAAAGGTGATGGACTGGTCAAGCATGTCTTCAGACCTAAACCCTATTGAGCATCTATGGGGCATCCTCAAACGGAAGGTGGGGGAGCGCAAGGTCTCTAACATCCACCAGCTCCGTGATGTCGTCATTGAGGAGTGGAAGAGGAATCCAGTGGCAACCTGTGAAGTTCTGGTGAACTCCATGCCCATGAGGGTTAAGGCAGTGCTGAAAAATAATGGTGGCCACACAAAATATTGAAACTTTGGGCTCAATTTGGACATTTCCACTTAGGGGTGTACTCACTTTTGTTGCCAACGGTTTAGACAACGTTTTAATGGCTGTGTGTTATTTATTTTAAGGGACTAGATAATCACACAATGACACCGTATGGAGAGAATATATAAAAAAACGATACCACTAGGTGCTATTACTCATGCGCAAGTTCGCCGGCCGTTTTTTGAAGGACCAGTGAGTTATTTCACCTATACTCCATTATATATAGGTTAGGATTAATAGTACTTTTGTTGTTATCTTTGAGTTGCATGTTACAATTATTGTGGGTAAGGATATGTTTGGGACCAATAACGGAAGTGATGATGTCACTTCTGGTTTCAGGCCGGCATAATCACTGATGGCCATCAGCTGTATGGGGGCTGTACTATATAAAGGGATTGTGGTAAGTCAGGATACAAACACCCTTGAAAAGGGCAGCCAGTTGGTGCCCTTTTGAGAATGCTTTCCTATGAGACTGGCTGAATGCGCGCGCGGCTCTTGCTGCACATGCGCATTCAGCTGATTACGGGAAGGGAGGAGGAGAGCCCAGCGCTGGAGAAAGGTAAGTGTTTAACCCCTTTCTCTCCATCCAGCCCGGCGGGTGTGGGACCCTGAGGGTGGGGGCACCCTCAGGGCACTATAGTGCCAGGAAAACGAGTATGTTTTCCAGACACTATAGTGGTCCTTTAACATTTGTGTTCGGTGCACAAATGCTGTAACGAGTGAAAGTGATAAAAGTTATTTTGACGTAACACAGAATATGTGAAAATCGGCTGTGGTGTGCCGGAACCTGTAATAAAGAGGTCCAAATAGAAAATACCATGCATATAAATTTATGACAATCAACAATCATAAGTACAAGTAATTGCAATGTCATATTGAGAAATGCTTCTGTGATTTATCGTACAGGTTGAGGAATAGAGCGAGAATAGGCAGAGGACATCCAGCGTCCCAGTGTTTTGATAATATGTATAGGCATGTTCCTACTTGAGGCAGTGGATGCTGTCCCTGTTCTGAACAAGATATCTGAATAGTTAGAAAGGTTAAGACCAAGCATCATTATTATAGTCTTATATATATATATATATATATATATATATACACATTGAATTTGTCAGTAGTTAGTACTGACCCATGTAGTAATAGTAAGGATTGTGATGGGTGATTGTGTGGGGAAAGTAGATAATTATCCAATATATTTACTGGGCACCATTTGTTGTGCATAGGGTAATATGGAATGCCAACCACTTGACTAATTTTGTTTTTTTGTGTGTGGGGTAGTGAGAGTATGTAATGGTTATAATGTTTGTTGATATATGACCGTTTAAAGGACCACTATAGGCACCAAGACCACTTCAGCTTAATGAAGTGGTCTGGGTGCCAGGTCCATCTAGGTTTAACCCTTTTTGCTGTAAACATAGCAGTTTCAGAGAAACTGCTATGTTTACCTATGGGTTAATCCAGCCTCTAGTGGCTGTCTCATTGACAGCCGCTAGAGGTGCTTCCACGCGTCTCACTGTGATTTTCACAGTGAGAAGACGCCAGCATCCATAGGAAAGCATTGAGCTTGCCGCGCATGCGCATTCAGCCAATGACGGCGAAAAGGAGGAGGAGAGTTCCCCGCGCCGAGGGAGCCGTATGTGTTTAACCCCTTCCTCACCCTAGAGCCCAGCGGGAGGGGGACCCAGAAGGTGGGGGGGACCTAGAAACCCTATAGTGCCAGGAAAACGAGTATGTTTTCCTGGCACTGTAGTGGTCCTTTAACCCCTTAAGGACCGGACTGTTTTTGCGCTGTTGTACATTTGCGACCAGGCCTCTTTTTACACTTTTGTGGTGTTTGTGTTTAGCTGTAATTGTCTGCTCTCTCATTTACTGTTCCCATACAAATTATATTTTTTTTTTTCAGGACAAAAGGGGCTTTCTTTACATACCATTATTTATATAATCTCATGTAATTTAATTTTAAAAAAATGAAAAAATATGATGAAAAATGTAAATTTGACTTTTACGTGAAAAATCTTTTACTCATCTACAAAAGCGAATGAAAAAAACTGCTAAATAGATTCAAAATATTGTCCTGAGTTTAAAAATACCCAGTGTTTACATGCGTTTTTGCTATTTTTTTGCATGTTATAGGGCTATAAATACAAGTAGGATATTGCGGTTTCAAAACATATATTTTTTTTTTAGAAAATTCTTTATTTGTGAAGATTTTATTTGGAGTAAGGATACAGAAGAGAAATAGGGAGTAGACAGTTACAATGTGGATCATACTGCGTTTGCTTTTCTAGTCAAACCTGTTTCAGTTTCAGTTGGTTACCACATTCTTTCTAGGTGTTTGCGTTCTTTGCTTCGTTACCCAGTGCTTCCTTTTGTTCTGTGTGGTAGTTCGGTTGTCTACTGATTGGGGTGGGGTACAGAAAAAAGAGGGGAAGGGGGTAGGATACCCTATTGTTTTGCCTTTTTGTCGTTAAGCTAGAACAGTATCCTCTTGCTAAGTTTTGGGTCCGGTTTGTCGTGTACCTTTCGGTTAAGTGAGTATGCGTATTGGTTGTGTTGGGTTGTTGGGTCGCAGCACTTCTCTATGGTGTCTAAGGGTATGGAGAGGTGTGGGTCGGGGGGCATTTGTAAGGTGGTTTTCTGTCTTTTCGTCGCTTATAAGCTTGTGTGTCGCTTTGGGTGGTATGTATGTGGTCGTCTGTGATGTCGTTTAATCGTGTGTGTATGAGTGTTGGTTTGTGTAGGAGTTTCGGTCTGAGGTGGGTTGTGATTTCTCTGTGTGTCCTGTGGGGTAGGCCGTTTCGCCCCATTCTCCCTGAGTTGGTGGGTGGTTATTTGTTCTGTTCCCTAAGTGATCTTTTCCATGTGTCCAACTTCCCTCTCTTTTGTTTTCTTGGTCCTGAAATGGGTATGCCCCTTGCAGTTTCTTGTGTATTTTCGGGTGTCGGGTGTTATTAATTAGTCTCCCTCCGTAGGGGTGGTTTGTGTGCTGCGTGTTTGCTGGGTTAGGTTGTTCTTTTAGGGAAGTGTTGTGGGGAGGCCCCATCTCTTGCGGTGAGTGTGGGTGTTGCTTCACCTTGTGAGGTTTATCCCCCGTTTGTTGTTTAGGGGAGGGTCGGGAATTCGTAGATCCAGGGGTCCCAGATCTTGTTGAAGTGTTTGGTCGTGTCGTGAATTAGGGCGGACATTTCGTCCATTTTTATTGTGTCTTTGATTTTCCGTTTAATTGTGTCTATTGCTGGTATGTCCGGGCTTCCCCATTTTTCTGCGATTGCTCTTCTCGTGGCCAGGGCAATTTTGGCAATGAGTTTGTTTTGGGCCCTTGGGGTGCCTGCCATGGGTTTGGAGAAGAGCCAAATCCATGGGTCCAGTGGGATGTTTGTATGTAAGACCTGTGATACCATGGTAGCTGTTTGGTGCCATAGTTGCGCTGTGTGGGGACACTCCCACCACATGTGGAGGTACGTTCCCTTCTGTCCGCAGCCCTTCCAGCATGTGTCGTTGTCTGACCTGCCCATCTGTTTGAGTTTTAGGGGGGTGAGATACCACCTCATGAGCGTCTTGTAAGCTTGTTCTTTATGGTTAACGCATATTGAGATGGTCGCTGTGGCTTCCCAAATATTGGCCCAGTCTGATGGGTCTGCCGCTGGACCTATGTCCCTCTCCCAAGCCGACACATATGTGAGTGCTCCGTCTTTAATGTGTTGTATTATGTGTGAGTATATCTCTGAGATTTGGCCTTTGCGTGCTGGTGTTTGTAGGCATTGTTTTTCGAAATGGGTCATCGTTCTGGTCCCCCCTTGTGATATTGTCGGAGTTTCCAGAAAGCTTTTTATTTGTAAGTGGCGGAACATGTCAAAGGTGCGGAACGGGGTGGTTTGTGGAAGTTCCGTGAATAGGATTGGTTCGCCGTCTTTGTAGAAGTGGTATAGTCTGGTTAGGTCATTGTCTTCGAAGCGCGTGAAATCTTTGGGCGTCATGCCCGGTGGGAATTGTGTGTTCCGGAGTATGGGGGTTAGCAGTGATGGTTGGGTTGTAAGCCTGCTTTTGTGTGTTATTTTATCCCATACCTTGATGGTGTTTAGGATTGCGGGGTATGTTTGGGGTAGGGGGGGCCTCGCTGGGCCAGGCAGCCATATGTACATGGAGGGGAAATCTCTGCCAAATATATCATGCTCCAGGTCGACCCATCTTTTTGCCCCTGGTATGATGTGCCAATTCTGCGCTTGTGTTAGCTGTGCGGCCTGATAATAGTGGGTGAGGTGTGGTAGGCCTAGACCACCTTGTTTGTTGGGTACGTATAGGGTTTGTCTTTTTATCCTGGCGCGTCTGTTTACCCAAATAAATTTATCGATCTTGGTTTGCAGCTGTTTGAAATCTATGGCGCGTATTGGGATTGGGAGGGTTTGGAACAGGTATAAAAGTCGCGGCAAGGCATTCATTTTGACGGAAGCCAGCCGGCCAAGCCATGATATCGGCATGCTTTGCCATCTTTCGATGTCGTGGGTGATACTTTGGATCGTGGGTGTGTAGTTCAGGTCGTAGCAGAGGGAAAGGTCTGCTGGGATGGTTATGCCCAGGTATTTTAGGTGGGTGAGTGTGAGGTCGAATGGGTATATGTCATGTATAGCTGTTTTGGTGGTTGTGTCTATGTGTATCGGGAGGGCCTCCGTTTTGTCGATGTTGAGCTTGTATCCCGAGACCTCGGCGTATGCTTTTAGGGCGTCTAGGAGTGGTGGTAGGGATGTTGCTGGTTCTGTAATTGTAAGGAGCAAGTCGTCTGCGTATGCCGCCGTTTTATATTCTTCTTCACGTATTTTCATTCCCTTTATGTCCCTATTGAGTCTGAGGGATTGTAGGAGTGGCTCTAGGGACAGTGCGAAGAGTACTGGGGAAAGTGGACACCCCTGGCGTGTACCGTTATGGATTGTGAAGGTCGGGGGGTGTGTGAGAGGGAGGAGGAGATGTGCTTGTGGTGTGGTGTAGAGTACCTGTAGGGCATTTATAAAACTTCGCGGGAGTCCGAATTTCTCTAGGGTGGCGAATAGGAAGGGCCATAACAGTCTGTCAAATGCCTTTTCGGCGTCCAATGATAGGAAGAGAGTTGGGATGCGTCTCGTGTGGGCTGTCCAAATGAGGTTGTATGTTCGTCTCGTGTTATCGCTCGCCTGTCGTGATGGTATGAAGCCCACTTGGTCTGGGTGTATTAGTTTGGGTAGGTTGTGGGGTTCTGAGCTCTCCATGCATCTATGAGGCGTGTGCGGGAGATGAATGCCGAAAAGAGTTTGTCAGCTTTCGCTGTTGCTTGTCTTCTTTGCCTATGTGGATGCGATCGGCGTCTGTCTACCGTGGGTGATGGGGTAGCGTTAAAGTCGCCGCCTATTATGGAGTGGTGGGAGGGAAAGAGAGCTAGGTGTGCTTGTATTGTCTGCCAGAATGAGCTAGTTGGGGTGTTTGGCGCGTATAGAGTGGTGAAGGCGTAGGAGTGTGTGCCTATCTTGCCTGCGACTGTGAGGAATCGGCCTTGTGGGTCCGCTACCGTCCGCTTTATGGAGAGGGGGCATGATTTCTGTAGAACGATGGCTACCCAGTTATGTTTCTCTTGTGGAGAGCTGGCGAAGTGATTTATTTTATAGTGTCGGCTCAGGAGGGGAAACTGTTTGGTTTGATTGAAGTGTGTTTCCTGCAAGAGGAGTACGTCTGCTTTAGTTCTATTTGCCCATCTCATAAGCTGGTGTCTTTTTGCGGGACTGTTCAGTCCTTTGCAGTTGATTGATAGGCAGGTCAGAGTGGCTGGCATGCTGGTTGGTGCGACGCTGGCCTTTGCGTACGCGTTGTCTTCTTGTGTGGGGTTGCTTTAGTGTGTGGTATGTGGGGGAGTTGTAGGTAGGGTGGGGGGGTTGGGGTGGGGTGATGGCGATAAGTGCCGATGTGAGGAGGTGTGTGTGTGGTGTGGGAGGGGTTGTACCAGTATAACTGGTATGTGGGGGTGTCAGGTGGGGCCTGGTCTTACAGGTCAGTTGCCAGGCGTCTGGTGGGCGGTGTGAGTCGCGTTCGAAGGTGGTCAAGTTTAGTGTGTGTTGGAGTGTGGGTGCTTATATGTTTTGGTGTGTTTCAAATGTGGATAGTGGTATGTGGTCGTTGGAGTTTGTGGGGAGGAAAGTGGAGTGACTGTGTGACGCTCTCTCTTCTACCCCGGGTGTGTGGTGTCTGCTCCGTGGGTGTGGTGCATTTGGAGGGGTTTTATGTGGTTTTGCTCTGTGTTGGTACCTGGTTGTTGCTAGAGTTTGTATGCTTGATGTAGATCTGGGGCTTTTGCGTTTGTTTGTGTGCTGTTGAGTTGTCCGGTGTGGGATCTGTTATGCTAGTGTCTGATTGTGGGGTTTTGTTCGTGGTAGATTTCGGTGCTTGTCTTTATTCTTCTGGTGTTGGTCGTCTTGTGTGTGGTTGTATTGCGGCAGTTTGATGCTCGTGTGTTTGCATGCGTTGTGGCGTGTTTGTAGTCGAGGCTGGTGGGTATTGTTGACTAACCTGTCCGCGTCTGTTGGCCCTTGTGGTCCAGTATGTGGGCTGGTGTTCTGTCGTCAGGCTGCCAGGATTCGTTTGGGGAGGTGATGGGATACTTGTGTCGTAACTTTAACAGAAATAAACAACATGTTATCCAACATCCATGAACTTCAAAAAACTTGGCTCTTGGTGGCCTTTCATCGTGTGCCCAGGGTTGGTGTGTTAGGTCAGTTTTGGTTGCGATGGGGGGCCTCGCTCTGTGTGTGCTAATGACATGCGACGGCTCCCTTTGTCCCCCATCTTTCTGGCCCCTGTGTTCCCCGGGTATGGTTTGTGCGTGTTGTGTTCCGGGTTTAGCTATTGCTATGGGTTTCCACTGTTTAGTGGGGTTTTTCGTGCCCTTCTCGGTTACCCCCTGTTTTCATTTTGGGAGTGTAGTCTTGAGCCTTAAACTCTGGTTGGTGTGGTGTAAGGTTTCCTAACGTTGCGTTTGGCTGTGAGACCCCCTCCCTTTTCTGCCTTTAGGGCTTGGGACCCTCTGGGCATCGGTGGTTGTTAGCGAGTGTCGTTTGCAGGGCCTGGACTTAATCTCTGATGTTTAGTCTGGGTTTCATGTTTGTGCCTGTGTTGTGGCTCCCGCTAGTCTGTGGTGTGTTATGAGAGTCAGGGCTTCGGGTGGGTATTTTGAGGGGGTTGGTTTTGCATTGTGTCCCGTGCCCTCTGCCCGATACCCAGCGCTCCCCTGCTTGTAGGATTCAGTGCCCTCTGCATCTCAGGTGTAATTTGTGAGGTTTTTTTGTTCTGTCTATCTGTCTCTGGTTTGCTCGTCTGCATAACAGAGCGTAGTGTGTGCTAGCTGTTCTCGGTAGTCTGCGCATCTTGTGCTTGATGCGGGGTTGCTGCTGAAGTTCATTGGTGCGGTTAGCTTTTGGTGTTTGGTTTAGGGGGGGTGTTTGCCCTGCATTTTGCGGGTGCTGGTCTTGTTGTTTGGAAAGTGTACCCTGCGTTTGTGTGCCTTTCAGCGTTTTAGCCTTGTCTGGTACCTATCAGTGTGACTTCATACTAGAGGTGCATATTTCCGGCTATCCGGCTATTCTTTTAGGGTGTAAGTGCTCTGGTCACAGTGTGGGGGTCTAGTCCCTTGACGGCTCCCTAAGTGGGTTTGCTGCTCTGCGTTTTGCAGGGGTGGTGCCCACCTCCCCCCCATCCCCCCGAGCCTTAGGTGGTCCCTGTAGTGGCAAACTTACTGAACTGGTCTAACATAAACAGTAACAAATCATTAACCCCATATTGGGGCGTAACATCATGTAACAACATATATACTACCGGCTGTGCAGTGGTTTTTAGCGTCCGTTTACCCGGTTTTTGGCGTAAATGCCGAAATTCAGGGATGGTTTATGGTAGAGTCCTGTGCGCATCGAGCGCTGCCGTTCAGGTGTCCCTGTGTGGGTGCTCTTGCGAGGCCGTCGGGGCTTTCTTCTTCGGCTGCGTGTGCGCCATGTTTGCGCGGGAATCACTTCGGCGGCCTGAACCTTCGTTTACGGTGAGTTGAGGGTCTGCCGTCGGGTATCAAAACATATATTTTAAAAATGTATCAATAGTGACATTGTAGCACTATTATCTGTCATAAATCTCTGAATAACACCCCACATGTACATATGTACAGACTTTTTTAGTAGACACTTAGTCGCAAACACTGGCCAAAGTTAGCGTTCATATTTGTTTGTGTGTGTAAAAAGTAAAAAACTAAACTGAACGCTAATTTTGGCCAGTGTTTGTGACTAAGTGGTTACTAAAAAAGACTGGACATACCCCATTTGCAATAACTTGGGTTGTCTTCTTTTGCAAATGGTATGCCATCATGGGGGTAATTCTCATTCCTGGGCTACCATACGCTCTCAAAGGCAACGTAACCAACCTGGCCATTTTGAATGTAAAAATATTTGACCCATATATTTGACCCTGTAACTTTCAAAAACGCTATAAAACCTGTACATGGGGGGTACTGTTATACTCAGGATACTTTGCTGAACACAAATATTAGTATTTCAAAACTGGAAAATGTATCACAGCAATTATATCATCAGTAAAAGTGCTGTTTGTGTGTGAAAAATGCAAATAAAGTCACTTTCACTGACAATATCATCGCTGTGATATGTTTTACTGTTTTGAATCACTAATATTTGTGTTCAGCAAAGTCTCCCGAGTAAAATAGTACCCCCCCATGTACAGGTTTTAGGGTGTCGTAGAACGTTACAGGGTAAAATACAGTGCTAGCAAATAAAATTTTCTAGACTTTCAGGCAGGGTTGGCAGGCAGGTCCCTCAAATTGCAATCAATAAAATTACTTAATTATGTAAAAATATTACATAAATACGCATGTAGAATTTAAATATATATGCATATTTATATATTTGAAGTCTACGTGTATATTTATATAATTATTTATGTAATTTTGTATATGGACATATGTATATTTCGTATTATTTTTATTTATTTATATATACATAGATATATATACAATTTCATTCTAAGTGTATTTTGATATAAATATATATATATTAATATCAAAATACAGTTAGAATAAAATTTCATATAGATATATAATTTAAAAAAAATATATTATTTTTAAATTTTTTATTTAATTTAAATTACTTATTATTTGTATTTTATAATAATATTTATATACAATATATATAGTTATTATATATAATATATATATATAAGTGTGTAATTTAATGTACATATTAATATAAAAATACACTTAGTATGACATTATATATATGATATATAGACATATATTATATAGATATAATAAATGTCTATATATCATATTTATATACACATATATACATTTTTTTTTTACTTAACATTAACTTTTTTAAAAAAAAATTTATTTTACAGTTGCAGGGAGTCTGCCTGTCAGCACAGGCAGTCCCCCTGCAGGGAGACACATGGACACCTATTGTGACCATGTGATCACTTTGTAGAGCGATCACATGGCCACAGGGGTCCTAATCCGCCACGGGGAGACTGTCTGGGCTGCAGGCAGTCTCCCCACAACGGGAGCAACGCCGATCGCCGCCAGGTAATCGGGTAAGTAAATAAGACCGTTAGGACGGTTCAGGACCGTCACCGGTCGGCAATGTAAAAATGCCGATGACGGTCCTGAACCGTCCTCGGTCCTTAAGGGGTTAAGACAATAAATGGTGTTAGTAAAATTTATGGAGGTGAACTCTCTTGGTCTGAGAAAACCATAAATGCCAGGTAGATAGCTGTTTTTATGACCTGGTTGGTATGATATGAGTCCAACAGATTGGATAGGGATTGCAATTAATGGCTGTTAATGGGAAGTCTTTTTGGTGGTCGAGAGGTGCTTGATTTTTGGATACCTTTTAGGATGGTTTTTATCTCGTATGAAGATAAAAAAAACTTGGTTTATTGGGTAATTGATTGAGCACGTGATGTATTTCTGTTATATATAACTTTATAGTATTGTATGATAATTTTAGTCTAATGTGGCAAAAAAAAGCAAAACCCACCAAAGATTCCATAGCGAATGCATCAGATATTTGATGTTCTGAGAGAAACCTGGTGAATAATTGGAATGCCCTATCATATGACCATTTAGTACTGTCACAAAGTGCCAGTTGATTGAGTTCCTGTCTGTGTGCTAAAAGATCATTTAGTCCATTGTCATGTCCTGAAACAGAGGGGCGGATGTAGCTAGCCGGTAGGCAGTAGGGAGGCACAGTAAAATGCTTGAATATGAAACCAAGATAAATTATCAGCAGTGACATTTTGTGACATTTTGTACACCAGGAACATGAATACACACCAAGAAAAACTAATTACAAGTGGCTAGCCACGTCAATCTCCTGAGGAATCTCATTATGATCAGTGATGATGAGTGCTCCTTGTTTATTATGTGGTTGTTTGAGAAACATTTCACCATCTGACCTGACCATAATTTACTCCATGCCACCCCGGCAGCAACTATAGGATACAGTATAAAAGGAGCAGAGGTAAGGGAAAAACCTTCTATGTTGGTAGCTTCTGCTGGCCAACTGCCCCAAAAACAAGCATTATCACACAGAGCCATAAAGCCAGTGGTGGCTGCTGCATCAGTCCAGATGGTTGGTGAGTTGTGAGAAATTTGAGGGATAAGCATGTTTTTCTCGTTCCATGTTATTAGAAACTTCCGCCACATGAACAGATCTGCTGTAGCTTGGGGGTCTAATGTAATGCAGCTATCATCAGTATGGAGACCGGGGAACAGGCAGAGGAGTCTTGAAATAAAAGACCCGCCTTGCAAGATAATCCTCATAGCAAAATTGAGTGATCCTAAGAGTGATTGCAGTCCTTTGCGACTGCACGAACCTAATCGTATGTACTGGTCGATATTCGTTAGGATACGGTCAGTTTTGTCCCTGTGGAAGCTGGATTGCATAGCTATTGAGTCAAGTTGTATACCTAAAAGATGTATTAATGTATGGGGTCCCTCCATTTTTGCCCAAGTTACAGAAACACGCAATAGCTCGAAAAGTTTCATGGCTTCTTGTAGACTACGTGGGGGGTGAGTTTTGTTTTCAATCGTGAGGAAGTCATCCAGGTAGTGAAAGACTGTGGGGCATCTACACACGTTAAGCAACAACCAGCATGATGTTTCTGCAAAGATGTCAAAAATGCTCTTAGAACCAAAGGTGAGCCGGGAGAAAAAGTATAATAGACCTCTCCACTTAACGTCATGCAGATGCCAGAGTAATAGGTGAATGGTGAGAAGTTTGAAGGCATTTACTATGTCAGTTTTACCGAGCCAAGTTCTTTCACTGGCCGAGAGAATAGCATTGATGGCATTATCTATGGTAGCATACTAATGGGAAAATTCATCTGAGGGAATCAGGGCATTTCAACTGGGAACTGTAGTGGAATGGGGAAAAGAAAGGTTAACAATCAATCTTTGCTTATGGGAGTTTTTCCTGTATCACTTCCATGATAAAAAAAAGGTGGAGACTGAAATGGACCCAATGGAAAACCTTGATCTACTTATTGATGTAATAATGTGTTTACAGCCACTGGATATAATAAGGCTGTTCGTAAATGTTTGCATTCAACTGTGCCTGATCGCATGTAGATGCCAGTGTGGAAACCTTTAGAAAAACCTGTCACTAGGAAATCCACCAAATATGGCAACGGATGATTAGACAACATGTTAGATAAAGCCACCACATTTACCAAGGGCAAGTACGGTGTGGGAAACATATTATTAGGACACATAGTCTTTGCGTGAGCTCTATAGCATTGTGAACAAATGTTCAGAAGCCTGCAAGCTCTAAAACGCCAAGCATTATAATTGTTACAAATTTAGGATTTACTCGAGAAAACAGCTCAATTTATCTTTAATAATCTTGAATGTTTTGGCAAGTGAGATGGGGGATGGACAGGTTGGGAGAAACCTCAGAAGTGTTAGGACAAAGGTTGGTTGTGTGGGAAGTTGACGTACAAATTGCACAGGTTGATTTCCTGAGGCCAGCAAAGTATCTGCAAAAAAGATTGGTGTTCAGTTGGCTCTAGTCCGTCTTTATGTTGAACGAGCCAACTTTCCGCATGGGCACCCTGGGCAGTTGCCCAGGGGCCCCACAAGCATGGGGGTCCCAGAGCGATGCCCATGTGCCCAGGCTGACAGGGGAGATCTTTTGATCTCCCCTGCCGGCCCGCAGACAGCCGACCCTGCTTACTTGCTTAGGCCCCTCTCAGGCTGGTTGGGAGATCAAAGATCTCCCTCTCTGGCCCAAAGGCCCTTCGTTGGTGAGAGGGAGGAAGATAGGACCCAGGGCTGCAGGAGAGAGAGGACCTGAGAGGCGGTTCCTTCCGCGAGCATGCTGGTCTGTGTGTTGCTACGGGTTGCCGTGGAAATGCTCCGACACAACATTTGGCTCGCAGGAGGAGTGAACATAGCCTGCGGCCAGAGGAGCTGCAGGCTGTAGGTCTATACTGTAGTACTCACCACCGGACCACCAGGGCTGGCTGTGTCCCCCCTTCTTTACCTAAGGAGGACATGAAACTTTAATAAACAAATTTATTTTAAATAAAAATAACAAAAATCCCTATGCACCCCACACTTACTGTGTGTGCACTCAGCAGTCTGTGTGTATGTACTCAGCAGTCTGTGTGTTTGTGTACTCAGCAGTCTGTGTGCATTCAGCAGTCTGTGTGTATTCTGCATTCTGTGTGTGTGTATTCAGCAGTCTGTGTGTGTGTATTTAACATTCCATGTGTGTGTATTCAGCAGTCAGCGTGTGTGTATTTGTATTGTATGAATGTATTGACTTTCTTGGAGGTACCAATAAATATAAGCTTAATTTTATCGATAACTTACATTTTTTTTTCTGTGAGTGGTTGTGTAGGCAGGGCCTCCGGGCATTTCTTTGCCTGGGGGCCCAAAATGTTGTTAAGATGGCACTGAACTGAGTGAGAGCAGCAGACACCTTTGCAGAAAAAGACCGGTGGTAGTTAGAAAACACTGAACCCCCATGTTTGTGCCCCAAGTCCACCATCTTGTGCAAATAAAGGTAAAATTCATCTCTCAGCAATCTGGGGGACAGGGGGATGGAGGGGGGACAAAGAGACATACAGAAGGGAAGGGGCACAAAATGACAAACAATGCTGGGCTGGGGGAGAAAGAGGGAAGGGGAACAAAATGTATGCACATGAGTTTATGCCAAAGAGCTAATTGACAAGTGAGAGAAAGACCTCTTATTAAATAGATTTTCCTTTCAATATACAATCTTGCTAACACAACGTACAGATATATGTAATTGATGTGATTCTGATGGTAATACACATACACACACACACACATATATATATGCATGTATATTAATGTGTGTACTAGTAATATATATATCATGATGCCTATAATATTTACACATATATTAATATACTTTTATATATGCATAATACAAACAGAAATGCCATAAATATATAACATTTGTAATGAGCATGTATTGGCCCAGTTTTGTTGCTAGGTGCACACTCCAGCGCAATAACAAATTAAAAGTGAAGAGGTAACTTCAAAATAAACAAGATAACTTTATTTTTTACAGCTCTGTAACCGCATACATTCACAATTTCAGTCCCATTACCAAACTTCCCTTAATATGTCAAGGTAGTTGGACTGAAACATTGAATATATGCAAACGCACGTCTGCTTAAAATAAAGGCACTCTTTTGTTTATTTTGAAGCCCTATGAGTGCCTTCTTTTGTTGGAGTAATAGTTTTCAATTTTAAGTTATCTTTTCCATCTCTATATCAGCAATTTTTTTCCAGGGCTGCTTTTAGATTCCAGTCCGGGGGCCTAGACCGTGATCTGTGTAAGAGGCCCCAAAAAATGGAGCTGCTTCCTGTTTGTTTATTTTTGTGAGCACTGCCTCAAGAGAGCCTGTTTTAACACCAGACCAGTGGAGCCTTTTGTTCTCATCTGGTGGTAAGTGGGCAATCCAGTATATTATTAGTGGCACTAATCTCTAATTTATCTCACATTAAAGGTCCACTATAGTCACCAGAACTTAATGTAGTGGATTTGGTGTCTATAACCTGTCACTGAGGCTTTTTAATGTAAACACACTGCCTTTTCAGAGAAAAGACACTGTGTGCAGCACTGGCGTTGGCTCCAATGGGTGGGGCATTGTGATGTCCAATGGTGGGCAGAGCAAATGGGGCGGTGGCGGGAAATTTTTGCCCTGCACCTTAGCCACATCTGGTTTTAGATAGGGCAGGGCTGGATGTGAGCTATATATTTCAGATAAAAGTGTTAGGATTTGGCAATTTACTAGACATGAGGGGTGAAGGACAAGTTGGAGTCAAAGACAATAAGCTTGTCAGGTTCACGTGATGAAACCAAAAGTTTAGAAAAGCTAGTATTCCCAAAGGGAGCTAGCGAGATTGTGTCTGGGACGCCCTGATAGGGGATAACCCTCACAATTGTGTCCCTGTGGTCAGGGGCGTATTAGCCGCGAGGCTAACAAGGCATTTGCCTTGGGCGGCATTTTCCAGGGGGCGGCAAAAAAAGCCGCCCCCCAAATGCCCAGGGCAAATGCATTGTTAGCCTCGCGGCTAACTGACATGCCGGGCTGGGCGGGCGGCGCTGGGCGGGCGGCTAGCGAGGGAGCTCTTCCTCTGAGCGGTCTGCTCAGCTCCCTCGCGCGCCGCAGAGTGAGGCTGGGAGCCGGAATATGACATCATGACGCCCAGCGCCGCCCGCCCAGCCCGGCATGTCAGTCAGCCACTGCACCCCCAGGGAGAGAGGGACCCTTCCCTCCCCCCAGCATTCCCAAAGGTAAGGAGGCTGGGGGTGGGGGGGGGTTAAATAAAGAAAAATGTTAATGTGAGTGAGTGTGTGTCTGTTAGTGTGTGCCTGTTAGTGCGTGTCTGTTAGTGTGTATCTGTTAGTGTGTGTGTGCCTGTTAGTGTGTGTCTGTTAGTGTGTGTGTCTGTTAGTGTGTGTGTTAGTGATTTTGAGTGTGTCTTAGTGTGTGTGTCTGTTAGTGTGTGTGTCAGTGTGTGTGAGTGTGTCTGTTAGTGTGTATGTGTGTCTTAGTGTGTGTGTCTGTTAGTGTGTGTGTGTGTCTGTTAGTGTGTGTCTGTTAGTGAGTGTGTGTCTGTTAGTGTGTGTGTGTATGTGTTTCTTTTAGTGTGAGTGTGTTTGCCTGTGAGTGTGTGTGTGTCTGACTGTGTGTGTGTGTCTTAGTGTGAGTGTATTTGCCTGTGAGTGTTTGTGTCTGTTAGTGAGTGTGTGTGTGTGTCTGCTAGTGAGTGAGTGTGTGTCTGTGTGTGTCTGTTAGTGAGTGTGTGTTTGTTAGTGAGTGTGAGTGTGTCTGTTAGTGTGTGTGTTTCTGTTAGCTAGTGTATGCGTATCTGTCAGTGAATGTGTGTGTGTGTGTATTTAGAAGGCGGCGCGGGGGGAAGGGTTGGGTGGGAGTGGCGCGTGGGGGGAGAGAGGGGCGTCTGAGTTTTGTCATGCGTAGGGCAGCACAAAACCAGGATACACCATACCTCCTAAGCACCTTGATTTGAAAGAGACAGTCACTATTTTTGGATATATCCCCACTGTGCCTACTTTGTTCCTTGGTGTCCTGCTTTTGGGGACATCAGATAATTGTCTCCAGAAGCGTATCATGAGTGCTACACTAACAGCACTAGTACCTTGCAGAAAGCACTATTCAAGTTATCTGCATTGCCCATAATTAGTGGGGCAGCCTACTTTATTGGCATGCAGCCTGGTGTACATTCACGCCAGGCTGACCTACCAATGCTTCAGGTACTTACTCTTTCCAGTGCCCATTATGTTAATCATGTCATTGGCTCGTCCCTTGTATACCATTTCATGAGACGCCACTGTTGGGACGTATGATGTTTGCAGACACATGTAGATACACAATGGGGTCTAGGTCAATGAAGTCCAAATGGGGCAAAACCATTCAGCGCAGTACGGGGCCATTTGTACTGAAAATCTGTACATTATTCACACTATTTAACAATGTCCAGATTTTGCTAAACAGTCTCTAACTTAGTTTGGTCTGGTTTTCAACTGGACCAATAGCTGCAAGACAGCTGAATTCTGGACCCAGATGGTTAAAATTCAGGCCCAGGTCTGGGACTGATCATTGTCAAGGCCAACGTCCTGGATAAAACACGACGCATCCACATGTACATCACAAAGATGGTTCCCAAAGGGAATGCCTGAGACTTCAACAGATACAGGATGCAGAAAAGGAGGAGGTTCCATGGCAAGACAAATTAGTTGTGTACCACCGGCAGACAGTGGATGTGGCTCACATGACAAAATCCTACCAGTGGTTAGAAAAGGCAGAACTGAAAGACAGCACTGAGGCATTAACCCTAGCAGCACAAGAACAGGCACTCAGCACCAGATTATTAGAAGTGGGGATCAACCACGCCAGGCAAGATTCAAGGTGCAGACTGTGCAAGGAGGCCTCTGAAACAATCCAACACATAGTGGCCGGTTGCAAGATGTTAGCAGGAACAGGACACACTGAGAGGCACAACCAAGTTGCTGGGATTGTGTACCGGGACATCTGCACAGGATATAGGCTGGACCTTCCTAAGTCCAGATGGGAGATACCACAAAGGGTAGATGAGAACGATAGGCCCAAGATCTGCGGTGTTAAGACACCCCTGGTGTCTTTAAGAGAAACCGCCGTTTAGTTAACCTTCCCCCCACAATATCAATAACTCCGTTCGCATAGACTGCGGTATACGAACCACCATCAGGGGAAGCGGTAATCTCCCGAACGAGATCTGTGGAAGGCTCCAAACTCCCGAACAGAAATCCACGAACCGCCGCTAACCGCCGAACAAAGATATCCACCAAGCGGCTTTCGGTTCCAGCAATCAGTCTCTAGTCGTCGGTAATAAATCCCCCCAATAACGAGACAAAGCTCCGCATTGAGGTTCAAACAGGATCTGGCTTTACTGTGGGCTTCCCGCCCGTATTTATGCAGGTCTCCCACTTGATGAACACTCCCCTAGGGGACCAAATGGGAGACTGTAATGACAGATAGACATGGGGACATTTCAGACATACAGATGTAAACTTTTCCCACAATGCAATATGGTTTCCTCCCCTCTGCCCTGGAGATAATTGAGAAGTAATTCAATTATCTCCAGGACAAAGACAAATCGCCATCTTAAATAAAATGCCAGAAAACACACAAAAATATATAATTCCACAACTACCGAACATTTCACATTCGTATCACATATCCCCAGATAGCCTGGATCTGAGGGCATATTATTAGCGAATAGTGCTCAGATCCCATACGCATAGTTCAATCGCCATGGAGTCAAAGTTCTTACAGTCTTTTGGTATGCGATTGACTCCATGGGAAGGCTATCTGGGTTAAGTCTTTTCGTGTGATTTCAAACTCCCGAACGGCCGGTGTTCGCATGCTTTCGTCGATGGAGCAGGGCGACCCGTTGTTTCAGCGGTGTTCGGCAGAAAAAGTGTCCGTTTTTAGTTCCATGAAACTTTCGTGTGAGCTAAAATGGCCACTGCCTCGTTTCTATAGAAACAGCCATTTCCACGAAAGGAGGGCAAAACAGACAAATCCACCACGCATAGGCATACAGATGGTTCTGTCACATGCGGGACTTTCAGATCCAGACAGACAAGCAAGTACTGGCTAACCAACCTGACATTGTGGTGGTAGACAAGGAATGGAAGACTGCAGTAGTGGTGGATGTAGCAGTACCCAGTGACTATAACATCAGGAAGAAAGAACATGAAAAGATTGATAAATACCAAGGACTGAAGGAAGATCTAGAAAGGATGTGGAAAGTCAAGGTAGTAGTAGTTCCAGTTGTGATAGTAGCACTCGGGGCTGTGACTCCCAAGTTGGGGGTATGGGTTCAACAGATTTCAGATGGGACATCTGAGATCGCTGTCCAGAAGAGTGCAATTCTAGGAACAGCTAAGATACTGCGCACAACCATCAAACTCCCAGGCCTCTGGCAGAGGACCCGAGAATGAGGAATAAACATACCACCCAGGAGAGGTGAGAAAATCAATTTTTTAATATATATAAACGCAAATTGGGAATGTTGGGCCTGGGCCCCCTAGGACCACCGGGCTTGTGACAACTGTTACAATTGTCACGCCCTGATGGCCCTGCACATAATATTCCTCCTTACACACAGTGCAACCCACAAACACACTGTACACTCCCACAGACACATAGTACACCCTCTATCACACACAGTACACCCCCAAACAGTACACCACCAAACACACTAAATACACCAACACACACGCAGTACACCCCGCACACACATCACACACACAACACCCTCAAACACTCTGCACATACCCCCACACAAACAGTATACTCCCAACATACAGAGTACACTCCCCACACAGCACTCCCATACACAGTACACACACAGTATACCTCCACACACACACTTCACTCCTATACACACTATAACTCAAATACACACATTATTATTATTATTATTATTATTAATGGTATTTATATAGCAACAATGTATTCCATAACACTTTACAATATTATATTATGAAAGGGGGTAATTTAACAATAAATTAGACAATTACAAATTAATACAGGAACAGGTATATGAGGACCCTGCTAAAATAAGCTTAAACCCCTGTACACAAACAATGCCCCTATAGAATTGCTATACATACACATAGAATGAAGGCCCTATACACATACATACACACTAAAGATCCTAGATACACAAACACAATGCAACCCCAATACTCATACACACAGCAGCTACTAGTTACACAACATACACACACACACAATACAACTCCAATACACGTACATTAACAGACTGCATCCCGTATGTAGCGGACTAGCCCCTGTACAAGAGTCTGCCCCGGTTTCCTGGAGGGGGCTGCTTGCTCGCCGCCTGCCCAGTGATTATGGTCCCGGGAAGATGGGACCCTTTAAACACAATGGCTAGGCATAATGGAGGTTGGCATGGCACTGCTGGCCCTTTTGAGAGCCAGCCAAGGACATATGGAATAGCAGAGACATTGGACTGTACAGCGGATTCATTATTACTTTGCTATTTAACTACTAAGACTTCCATATGGATTTGTCATAAGGCTTTCATGTGGATTTAAAAAGCATTCGTTTGAATGTTCACCTAAAACTGTACTGACTCCCTGCATTCGGTATATGAACTAAATCTACCGAACACCGGACCACCCTGATGCTTCAATCTACCTCCCTGTTCGTCTAATACATTCTTATTGAAACCCGGGAACGCTTTGTTCAAGTCCCTGGGTGGCCGCCATTTCGGGAGTTTAACACGTGGCAGCGGCCATCTTAAACTCCCAAACACGGTGTTTTGCCGTCGAATGTCTGGAATAAAATCAGACACTCGACTAGGCAAACACTGCTGAGACCTCCAGACTTCCATAAATTTGTGCCGAAACTACCAAACGAGCCGCCGTTCAGTAGAAAGACTAATGCAAACATGGGGATTCACACGAACACCAATATAGCCATGGATGACAAACATTTCGTGACTTTTATTCCGCGAACGGAGACCGACCGCAAGGCCAAAACTTTTTTCGGCTACTGTTGCCTGTGCGGTCGGTCAAAACTTTAAACCCCCATAACTCCCGAACCCTTGGTCCGATTTGGGTGATTTTTGAATATGTTATTCACCCAGAGCAGGGCTATCACATTTAGGGGTGTACCCTATGTATTTGGGGTACATCTAGAACTTGGGGAAAAATATGAACATTTTAATTCTGTTAACAGATAAGCTGATTTGAGGAGATGTGTCGGTTGTACCTTGTACTTTATTGGTTAATGTACTAATTATTGTGGGTGGCTCCCTTGCACGGGAGCATTGCATAAAAGCAGGGTTTGTGTGAATAAAAGTGAGTTCAGTTCTGCTCCTGATACTGTGTGTCGTCCAGTTATTGGGAAAGGTGATGGGATATTATTGGATTGTATTGCTGATCGTGCTTGCTACGCTGTTGGATTATTCTATTACTGTGGATATTTCTCCTGGGGTTACTACTTGTTCCTGAGCCACACCTGGACTACCAGCGGAAATAGTCTGTGAGAGACCAGCGTTCCACTACACCGTAGATACACACTCTACAGGCCATATACACACACACTAGAGCCACATTTAGTACACCACGAACAGACCTTTCTACACACTTCAGCTCTCCGAGTAAGCTGCTTAAGTAAGTGGTTCAGCTCATAATAGAATGGAGCTACTAACTGATACTGGCAGCAGTGCCTGGCTGGTATCGTCCATAGGACTCCATGGAAGCTTGCAAAACCCTATGGATGATGACATAAGCAGAGTCACACAGACACATTAACATTTTTATTTCTTGAGTGAAAGTGGTGGAAGTGTTGGGTGAGTTCCCACAATTTTTTCCCAGGACTTGGACCCCTTGTATTACAGATTATTTGAGGCAGTAAAATTCATCCTCTCATTTTGTTTGTCCGTTCCTTTGTGAATTCTGTGTCGACCGGAAATCATTTGTCATATCTGTCCACTACAAATGGAAACTATGTGAGATAATAAGGCTGTCTGCAGTTTGTAACTTGAATACACGATGCTGGAACAGAGGTGTCAACTACATCTGCTTTAATAATTTATACTTGGCATCATACGCTGTCAATAATAGCTTTTACTAGAAATGAGCACACAGAAACACACGATAGATTGTATCTGATCTGCAAAACTAAATCGCTTTTAACATATCTATTTGGTTTTATTTTTAAATTGTGTGAATTTTTTAATATGCTACACATATATTTATATATATATATATTTGTATAATTCATCAAAGGCAACGTACCCATAAATTACTACCAACAGCTATAGGGAAGAAAATGTTCTCATTTAATGGTTACTCCAATAAAAAAAAAAAGTATATTGAGAAAATAGCAGAGAGGCCAAGTTCTTTTCTCAGACCGATCCTTCTATGCTGAGGTAACTCCCCGTATCACTGAGGACGGATGAAGAGGAAGGGCAGGTTGAAGGTAGGACAGAGGTGGTAAAGATGGAAGGTGCCTCCACTGGATGCCTGTCACTAGGAACCCTTGTTCCGGGCTAGCTAATAAGGCACCAGTCACACTGCCGGAGGTGGAGTTACGCTGTACATGCAGACTCCATGACCACTGAAATCAATAAAGTGGTCTTGGTGCTTTGAGTAACCCTTTACCTAATTGACTACCAAGCACTTTTTGAGTGAAATTTTTTTAGCATAACATTCAAGGGATGCATAAACATCATAACACAGCAATCTTTTTCCATGGATTGCTTTGTAAACAAACATAAAAATTATGTAAATTGACACCATTTATATATTTAACTTATTTGTTCTTTGTAAAAATATTTGGGATATTCAAGGCTTTAGACAGTATACAGTGTCCTTATGTTGAAATGCTTCATACATATTTCATGCCCACAAGTAAGTCAGATACGGTTCTTTGATGTTCACTGTTCTCGCACATTCCATGAGAATGTTGAATGGCCTCTGATGCTTCTCATAAAGAAGCAATGGATTTAATGCTTCACAAAGAGAAGGAATGGATTCAATGCTTCACATAGAAAATGAATGGTTTCAATGCTTCAGATAGAGAAGGCATGGATTCAATGCTTCAAATAGAGAAGGAATGGATACAATGTTTCACATAGAAAAGGAATGGCTTCAATGCTTCACATAGAGAAAGAATGGATTCAATGCTTCACATAGAGTAGTAATGGATTCAATGCTTCACACAGAGAAAGCATGGATTCAATGCTTCACATAGAGAAGCAATGGATACAATGCTTCACATAGAGAGGGTATGGATACAATGCTTCACATAGAAAAGGAATGGCTTCAATGCTTCACATAGAGAAGGAATGCAATGCTTCACAAAGTGAAGGAATGCAATGCTTCACATAGTGAAGGAATGCAATGCTTCATGTAGAGAAGGAATGGATTCAATGGTTCAAATAGAGAAGGAATGCAATGCTTCACATAGAGAAGTATTTGATTGGATGAGTGCTGCATTTGCCAAGCACATGCTTTTCATCCTTAAAACTTCTGGTTGGATGAAAGTTAGCAAAAAGCCATCATCCCTGACGATGAGAAAAGAAGGGGCTGTGGCAACCAGGGTGTCTCTGAGCTAGAAACAAGGTGAGAAAAAGCTTAATAGCTTTAGAGATTTTTATAAGGATAAAGGGGAGACATACATTACTCTATAATGCCAGGGAACTTAGAGCCCTGAAAAAAATTATATTATTTTCAGACTACAGTTTCTCTTTAAAATTCACTTTGAATTCCCACTTTAGTAAATAACATGGAAGGATTGTGCTTAACTGCTCAACTCTGTCTATATTATCACTAAACAGACAACTATAATCTGTAAATATCAGTCAATGCCTCTACGTGAATTGGATACTGTATGGCCTTTTAATGGTTAAACGTACAAGTTACAAGCAGTGGTTTTCACTCATGCCATATTTGATAGCCTGCTGAAGAGTATCACTGCTCGGTGTGACTTTCACAAGCTCTCAGTGTCCTGTTCTTGTCTTACATACACATCAGCACCTCTGTGTGGAATAATAGGACTGACCTCATGAACTTCCTCATCCAGACTCTGTCTCCAGCAGCACAGAGAAGCACAGGACACAGCTCATGAAGGTAAGTCCACCTGGGACACATCTCAATGCATGCAGTCTAAGCAATATACTCATCGCACAGCATGTTTGTCAATAGATACACTCATGCATTCACATGTGTATGTGTTTTGGACAGGCTACTGGCTCACGTCCTGCAGATTATGGACTGAATTCTCTTAGCAGAGAGTCCTACGGGAAAGATAATATTCAGCAAGCTCAGTAAACCCTTACATTGCAAAGATATCCAACTATATGTATTTGTATTGTATATGTTGATAAGATTCCATATTACAATGGTAACCATATTTAGTAAAGATATCCTATGCCTTCTCTCGTTACAGGATCACAATGTACATTTTCTCTTTCTCTCTGCCTCTATGTGTGTGCCTCTTCCCCCTCTTTCCTTCTTGTTGTACGCTCAGTCTGTCTGTTCTATGTTCTACCACTCTTTATTCTTTCCTCTGTTGCCTATTATCCGTGTTGCCGAAGCTTTCTGCTCATTCTTCCCTCTATTTTTGCCAATCTCAGTGTTTTTGTGACTTGAGTTCTTTCTTCGTGAATTGCTCAGAAACAAATTTATCATCTTCTCTAGTCCTACCCCCCCTTAATACTGAATTCATTGACCTCTCTAGCTGCTCCTTGCAATCTATACCACCACTTCACACCCTGTGGAGGCTACAGACATTACTTCTAGCACATAACAACATATGGAAGGTGGAAACTGGAACTTGGGTGGGGCTGCAAAGCATACAAAGCCTGAACCTTAATGGGAACAGAATACGAGAGCTGAATACCAGTTTCTCCTGGGGGTTAGACTCCCTCACTCACCTTTTTATTTCTCATAACCAACTGCACACTCTGCAAGGACTCAGCTTCCAGCACCTTCGGAGTCTGGAAATCTTGGATTTACAAGGAAACTTAATTTCATCCATTCAGTCTGGTTCCTTGCGACCCCTCACCCAACTACGCCATCTTCAACTTCAGAACAACTTACTTCAGAGTTTGCAAAATAATGACTTCTCTGTGCTGCAAAATCTAGAATTTCTAGACTTGTCTGGAAACCTGATCCAAGACCTACCACCATGGGTATTTACACCTCTCCACTCGCTCATTTTCCTTAATCTACAAAACAACCGGTTGCGCCACCTCCGCTTTCAGACATTACGCAGTATCCCAGCTCAAGGAACAATAATATTTCTCTCACAGAATCCATGGGAATGTGACTGCGATTTACAGCGTGTGTTTGGGAAGTTGGGTGGGGTACAAAGGCTTAATCTGCATGATAGAGAGGAGTTACATTGTGCAGAACCTCTAGCTCTTCGGGGGAGGCACCTGATGTCATTGGACACTCGGCTCTGTGTAGCTGAAACAGTAACTGTTCTGGTTATCACTTTGACTGTAGTTGTCACAGTTGTTGGAGCAATAGTCACGGCAGAGAGGACCCGGAAAAAGAGACCGATTAGCCGTCAGAGTGAAATGTTTATCCAGGACTGATACCAGGATTGGACAGATAAATACCTTGTGTGACAGCGTTACAAAGGAGAGAAAAACGAAATCATGATTTGACATGGCAAAATTGGTAATACTATGCCTAAAATAGGTTACTGAACCCATAATTAAATTAAGGCAACATTCTTGACTCCTTCTTTAATATTTTATTATAAACGTCTAAAACTACTTTTGCAAAATATTTAAATATTTTTTTAAAATTATAATATATCAATATAGCTGAAAAAATATAAAAAATATTAAAACATTTTTAAAATATTAAATCAGTTTAAAAGTGTAACCAAAAATATTAAATAATTTGAAAAGCTTATCCAGAAATATCAAATCAAGGCCTAAATTAGATATTAGCAATTAATGTATTTTACCATTAATCCCTGTAATGCCAATATACGTCCCCTACAATGACCGTGTTAACCTGTTTCTCCCCTTACCTCATCCTTGTGACAACATTGCATATGTTAATTCTTTCCATACACAGGGCCGGTGTATTTTGGCCTCCTCATGTATATTACTCAATTTTCCCTTTGTGTTAATTGTTCCCTTTCCCCTTTAGTATTAGCTATTCTCTTTCATCAGATTTGCTTATTCTCTCTTTGCTATCGCTTTTATTCCACCACACTCCCTTTAGTTTCATTTTCCCCTCTTGCAGTCTGCGTTGGTGGATTCTCTACTCTTCCCTACTGATTTCCTCCAGTCTGTCTCTCGGTTATGAATATCTCATGCCTTTTTTTCTGTCTTTGTTTTAATTCCCAATAGGTCTACTACTTAAAAAGTACATTATAGTGGGTTGAAAAAGGGCTTTCAATATACAGGCCAAAATAGAAGAGATGGAAAAATCTTCCCTTTAAATGTTCTGGATAATTTTCCGCTACCTAGGCCCAAGTTTTAAATGGCACTTTTCAAATCACAGTTTATGAAATATTTATTTATACAATATTTTACCAGGAAAGATACATTGAGATTTCTCTCGTTTTCAAGTTTGCTCTTGAATAAAACTCCTCAGTGTCTTCCTGTTTATTGTTTTTTTTCAAGTGGACCAAGAAATTTAGAGGAAAAAATACATTGAGAATGGGGAGATATTTAAGTGAAAGAAACAGACTGGAGGGACATTTAGGGAAGCAAGACAGACTAGGGAAACACTAAGGAAAAGGAGACAACCTGGAGAGACATTTATGGAAAGGAGACATGCTGGGGAGACATTTAGGGAAATAAGACAGTCTTTGGAGACATTAAAGGACAGGAGGCAGGTATGAGAGACATGTAGGGAAAGACGACAGGCTGGGGAGAAATTATGTGAAATAAGACAGTCATTGGAGACATTAAGGGAAAGGAGGCAGGTATGAGGGACATGTAAGGAAAGGCGACAGACTGGGGAGACATTTAGTGAAAAGAGACAGGCTGAGAAGACATTTAGAGAAAAGGGCCGTTGCTCCCGGCGAATGCCTTATTCACCAAATGGAATCTTTGGCTCTGCAAATACAGCAAATTGATAACATATACCCCGTGTCTACCTTGTTCACATTGTGTAAGCCATACGACTACTTATCTCCCACCCAATTCTTACCTCTGCCAAAATAAATCAGATCTTTCAACCCTTGTTCTGGACTGACTTGCATCCAGGTAACCAAATTTCCACTGTCTGCCATTCCAATTCATCACATTGACCCTTCACATACAGTTGTTTAATCCGAATCCTGAATTGAAAACTATCCTTTACAGCCAGCTGTTCCACTAGGTGTCTGATAGTGTGAAACTGATTTGGTGCCTATTTGGGGAGGTAGGAGCACCAGGTGAGCACAAATATATGTATCCTTACAGCTCCTTACGATGGGCCAGAACCAGGAGTTTAATGTCATGCTGGTTAGTTGAAACGAAACCCAAAAGGTTCAAGAGAGAAAAGGAATCAAGGCAAAAAATTCCAAAGGTCAAGGCAACAGCAAAAACAGGTGTAAGAAAGGCTGAACTTGATGGATGCATCTTTCTTTTCATCCTCTGTAACTATACAAGGTATAATAGTCCCAAAGGGCCATCAATTCATGCAGCAAGGTTCAGCAACTTAGAGACAGGCCAAGGCTAAGGTGCCTGGAGAATCAAGAACGAGTACACAGCCAAGTGTTCACAGCAATAGCACATTATAGCATTGGTCTCCTCTCTTGAGATAACACCCACCTTTTGAAATCGTTGAGGAGTCCACCTCTAGGTAATAGAGACTGTAGTGAACTGTTTAAGTTTATCAAACACTTTTTGGGCACTAATCATCTAACATAAAGTGAGAAAGGTCTTAGTAAGAGCAGTCAAATGCTGGACATTGCAATAGAAGTTGGGATACAGTGGTGATAGAAATTGGGGAATCTGATAAATAATTGAACCACATTTTTGTTCTGAGGTGTTAGCCAGTTCATAATCGCCTCAACCTTTCCATTTTGAATCATCCAGGTGTTAGGATAAAACCCAGAAATGCCATGTCTCAAAGGTGCACTTCTTCAATTTTGCATTCAGGTTTTGTTGGCGTAACCTACCAATGACTGTACATACATGTTAGCAGTGTTCCTCCAAAGTAGGAGAAAAGATTAATAGATTTACCAAAAAGAAAGTCCTTTCTCTTGTCTGCTGCCTTTGCAAGGCCTATCCTATTAACCACACCCATACTTTCTATGGCTGTCCAACCACAGTCTTGCCAATGCAGCTCAATGGAGAAATCTTTACAAACAGGTACTCTGAGCAATTGCTGTATCTTGGGTTTAGCTCCACTGAGCTAAAAACAAACAGGAAGTAACATGACTGGTTGTCTGGTTGAGAGTCAATGGGGTGTAACCAGGTTTATTTATAAACATGTCAATTTCTATTGAAATCTGCACTTTTTGCAAAATGAGAAAAAAAAAAAAAAGAGGACACACTCTTCACACAAAGATTTTCAGCAAGCTAAAGTACTTTAAGGGACCGGTCCAGAGTGTCCCTTTAAGGATAAACCCTTAAACTATTATGGCACAAATAAATAACACACAACGTTTTGTTTTGATTCTGAACTTGAATTCCGCCCTTAAAAGGTTTAATACTACATTGGGCAGTTCCTCCTAATAAAATAAGCTAAAATAAGAATGTATATAACTTTTTATTTAAAGAATTTTATTGAATAAACCAAACTTCAACTTTGTTCAACTTCACGTCTCCTAAACTTGCAGAATGCTTTGCAGCTTGCAATAAATGTGCTGAGATTGAGCATCTCCGATATTAACAGTATTCCTAGAGACTAATCGATAGGCTATTTATAATGACAATGGTTGGTTGCCTCGTGCGGAACCTTCCTTCCTTGCTCCAGTTTCCCCAGGGGAGGATTTGATCGACAGACTCACCTCTGAATTTGGCCTGCATTTTCGGTTGCGACTAGTTCCTATCCAGTAGAAGGACCCTGTCCTTTCTGAGGATAGGAAATAGCTTGCTCAGTGTGAGTAAGCTAGTTCCTATCCTTCTAAAGGACCTTTTCGCCCACTACTGGTCAGGTCCTGTGTAGGGATAGGAACTAGACTGCTCACAGTGAGCTAGCTAGTTCCTATCCTTCTAAAGGACCTTTTTGCCCCTAGTGGTCAAGTCCTGTATAGGGATAGGAACTAGACAGCTCACACTGAGAGAGCTAGTACCTATCCTGCTAAAGGACCTATTGCTCCATAGTGTTTGGGTCCTCTTAAAGGATAGGAACTAGACAGCTCACAGTGAGTTCCTATCCGGCCAAAGGACCTTTATCGCTCCATCTCACACAGGTCCCTTACAGGGATAGTAATACCTAATTCCTATACTGCTAAGGGACCTGTATACCTTCAGCTAACAATGGTCCCTTACAGGGATATGAACTAGACGATTCACAGTGAGAAATCAAGTTCCTATCCGGCAAAAGGACCTTTATAGCTCCAGCTCACACAGGCCCCTTACAGGGATAGTAATACCTAGTTCCTATACTGCTAAGGGACCTTTATACCTTCAGCTAACAATGGGCCTTTACAGGGATAGGAACTAGACTGCTCACAGTGAGTAAGCTAGTTCCTATCCTTCTAAAGGACCTTTTTGCCCCTAGTGGTCAGGTCCTGTATAGGGATAGGAACTATCCTGCTCACACTGAGAGAGCTAGTTCCTATCCTGCTAAAGGACCTATTGCTCCATAGTGTTCAGGTTCTAGTTCCTATACAGGTATAAGGGACCTTTATACCTTCAGCTAACAATGGGCCTTTACAGGGATAGGAACTAGATAGCTCACAGTGAGAAATCTAGTTCCTATCCAGCAAAAGGACCTTTATAGCTCGAGCTCACACAGGGATAGGAACTAGAC